TATATATATATTATTTATAAAAAAATACTGTCCGGTAGCGAACGGTCCGCGTACTAGTTTACTGTCGGAACGGTCCGCATACCGGTTTACTGTCGGACTGGTACGTACCGCCCGTACTGGGCGGTATCATTTGAAACTGTATACCTTGGTTTTGTCTATGTATGGCTTTGCAAAGGAACAACTGCACACCCAGCAACTGACCAGTCATTGCATCAATCAGCCTTAAAACTTATGCACCATGATGGTAAAAGTGATAAATTCAGAGATTTATTCTGACTAATTTAACATACTGTAACTTACCTTTGACTGTATCCATGATGTAGAGCATCTCTACATGTCTTTTGTTCAGCTCTACTCCATGGAATGTTCTTGGCAAAATTCTAGGTTACATGGACTAAGTCGCTAAAAGTGACATCAAGCTACAGAGGTAGGCACATGGAAGAAAGAAGGGGACAAATTCCCTTATTTTTATTTTTCATTATGAGGCATATCATGAACACATCTAGTTAAATCAAGCGTTCACACAATTCATCCCCTAATTAATTGGCTAAAACCTTTTCCTAACTAAAACGAGTACACATAATTAGGTTTTCTTATTTTTGATTTTTTACTTCATGAAACCATCTCCACATTGCCACTGTAAAAGATAAAGAAATAAGTTACCTCATTCCTACCAGAGAAAAGAGGCTGGACAAATGATGTTTTTGTTATTAAACATGGCTCAAAACAACAACCATGAAACTATACCAAATAACTGGCAACACACCTCAAGACATGTATGCTTGGAACATGAAGTCCGTTAGATGACACTAGAACTGGTAGAGTTTGGCTTATGGTTTAAAAACAAATACCAAGCAACATTACTTTCAAAAGGTATCTAAGGACTAACATAATCTAGACTAGTATAAAGCATCATACATTAACAAAGAAAATTGTGATGGCTGCCTTGATGTTTAAGACATTTGGGAACCATTAAAATACATGGCTTCTGCCTGAAGGCCCCAAGTGGACGAAGATTAGAGGGAAATAAAGTGAAAATTGGAAGAATAAAATGAAAGCAATTAGGAAGCAATTCACTCTGGTGTTTCTAGCGATTCATTTTTGGCTTGTACCATCAGGAACTATGTAGCACGGATAAGACTTTTCTTTTGGGAGCATAAATGTTGTAAAGCTGGATTTGAAAATGATAAAGTCAATTTGATGAAGCTAAAACAAAAGCTGAGACTAATTGTATAACTAACGGTATAGGGTGTAAAGTCAAATCATTTGGTCCTTTTTCACTATTTTATCTGTGTGCATGAATGAACATCGCTATGTTTGGATATACAATTAGATAACAGAGCATTAGTATATTCTTAAACATGCATGCACATGCACCAAGGCACCTGACCTGGTTTCTAGGTGCTCAACTTAATTATAGCCACCAAGCACTAATGATTGATCAAAATGTATAACAAGAAAAAAATGAGAGTGTTCAAACTGGACAACATGAATCATACTTTGGACACTCTTGTTCGGAAAACGAGTTGTCCAAATGGAAACAAATGACATGTGAATCTAAAAATTTCATCTATAGTTCACAACAGCATGAAAGCCGCCTAGAACACATTCCTAAGCACGAAATTACTCGATTAATTAAAATGAAATCTAGCTTTTGCATAATCAAATATAGTCAGATCTAAAAGAAAGAAGTAGAAAATTTCCAGACACCCAGACAACATTCCAATTAACGAATTGCTAATGTCCATTCAAGGGGCCTACTGAACAAAATCAATCAAATATCTCTAAGACGAATGAAGGAGGCAAAGGGCAAGGAAAGGAATCGAGCGGAGTACCCCAGGAGGTTGACGCGGAGGTGGATGCTGAGCTCGACGAAGAGCTCGTACATCTGGCCGAGATCGGCGGCGTTGCCGTGGGAGTAGAGGAGGGTGGATGTGGCCATGGGGTTGCGGACGTAGAGGGCGACGATCTCGGTGCCACGGCGGGTAGGGAGCCGGAGCACCTCCACGTTCTCGCGGTGGGGGAAGCGGCTGAGCGTGACCACCCCGGACTCCGGCTCCGTCACCACCTCGTACGACGGCGGCGACGGAGGGAAGAAAGCCAGCTTCGCTGCCACCGAGGACGTCACTCCTCCCATCAATTTCCCCTTCTCTCTCTCTCTCTCTCTCTCTCTCTCTCTCTGTGAGAGCGGCGGTGGTCGGTGTCTCTGTGAAAGAGGTGAGAGAGTCGTTGGAAGAGGCAAACTATTTACCATAATTAAAAGTATTAAAATGCAAAAAACGCTTTTGGGTATTTTTTCGAAATGATCCTCTATACTAGTAAATTTTCATATTAGTCCGTATACTTCCAATAAATATCCCATTATCAACATTTTTGGCCACTTTACTAATAGCATTTTATATTTATATTTATATTTATAGTTGATCTACAAGATAATTTTGTTATAATTTGCAAAAAATAATATTTTTTAAAAATATTAAATATATATCCATCTCAAATTAATATATAAAAATATAAAAAATGTAACATATATGAGTGTGTGTGTGTGTGTGTGTGTTGAAAATTTTACATCCTTTATATTTTTGTATATTAATTAGAGATGGATATATATTTTTAATATTTTTTTAAAAATATACATATGATATCTAAATAATGGAAATGATACATTAATGCTATTCAAAAATTAATTGCAGATATGCTGCTTTCAAACTTTTGAAAGGATACATATGCAAAACTATTTTAATATATGACAAAATATGCAAAAGGTGCCCATAAATCATTGATGTTTTGTAAAGTGAACCTTCTCTACCTAAAATAATATTCATATTATTATAATATACTCTCAATAAATTATATAACACTTGAATATGAATATGAATATTATTAATGGAAGTTGAAGTATCAAGTAACAATGGATCACTTCATTAATAAGTGGAAGTATAGGGGCATAAAATAGGTGAAATTAATTATATATATATATATATAATTAGTTGACCTTGATCAATTGATTCTTAATGTAATAATATTAAATTTTCAACTTAATTTAATATCCCATTGAGATTTCAGATTAAAAATCATTTTTCTCCATATATTTAACTTGAACTCTCTTCATATTATTCTTAAAACCTGTCTTTCCCCACTAAAAGGAAAAGGGAAAAAAATGAAAGAGAAAAAAGGAAAAGGAGAAAGAGTGAAACAATAAATAAATTAATAAAGCATATTGTATATATTTAAAATTTATTGGCAATCACAATTAATGGTGGTTCACTAGTCATGGAAAATATAAATATTTGGTGAAATATAAATGCTATATTTGAAAATTCAGAAGGCAATTATTCTTTTCTAAAACAATGGGGATAAATATGTTAGGGTGGAATAGAGACTTGGAGCTTATCCACTTGATAGAGAGAGAAAGCCTAATGGTGATGGGTCAGTGTATATATAATAATAATAATAATTCAGTTTATAATGCATATATATAACTAGGTTGATATTAATCTTCACATAACTTTCATGAACACCATTCTTTCTTGGCCTAAATAGTGAGAAGATTATTATTAGCCAATGAAAGACAAGTTCGATTGCATTCACTTGAATGTTTCATGATGATAAGTTGTCGAGGAGAGATTTCTCCATAGTGAACCATGAATTATTATTATTTTATTATATTATTTGAGGTTTATTTTTAAAAAAATATAATTTTTATATTCATTATCATTTCGAGATGATAGTAAATAATATTTATATATACATATAAATTTATCTCATCCATTTAAATTAGATTTAACTATCTTTTAATCGAGTTTGAGATGAATTAGATAGAAAAATAAACACTCGAGTCGGATTGATCTTTGAATACTTGCATAAATTAAAAATTAAAGTTTGATAAGTTTTGTGATGACTTCTAATTTTCATATGTGAAATTAAACAAAATCTAGTTAATAAAAACCTTAAATCTAATAAGTATCGACAACAAGAGAAAAAGAAAAATAATTATAAAAAATAAGCTCTTCATCAATTAAGATTAATTCTATAAATCAAATAAGGTAAATTATTTATATTAATTATTCTAAAATAAATAATCTACCCCTTCTCCTACTACCATTAGGAGAAGAATATTCATCGAGAGTTGTTTCGATACAAATGTGGTTGATGCCATTGCAAATGATGTGACTTCTTCATAATCCACATGAATGCTACACCATATTTGCATGGGTCAATTCAATCTTCGATGAATCCATCAACGCCTATCCTCGTGCAACGTGGTTGTCACATGGATGTCACATCATTGCCAAGCTATCAACACCTAGTAATTGCCATATACATGCTTGAATGCATACATATGTCTCATTTGTATTTATGTCTTTAAAAGCATAAGAGGTTCATAACCCATTTATATAATTAGAGTGGAAAGTTTATAAAAGGAAGCTATAATTTAACATTCCCTCTCAAAATTATTCCATTTAAGATTTTGTTCTTTAGCTCTCTAACTAACATGAGATTAAAGTACATCCTCAAGATCGAACCACAATTTGAAACTTTCTATACTAGAAAATGATCCATATAGACAATTGGAATATTGTTGTTGGATTCATTCATATACACTTGTATAACATAATGAGGAAGGAAGGAAGAAAACAAAACCATGTGGTAGCTTTCCAATTCAAACCCACACGCAAAGTGGCACCAAAAGGAGCAAGAAGAGAGGCCCCTACTCTACTTGGAGTGTGATGGTGAAGGAAGCATGATTATTGAAACAAAAGAAGGGAGAGGACCACAATTATGTAGTATGTATGATCTTTAACACAAAAAGCAAGGAAGGAGCACATGATCATGTGATGGGGGGGAGATGTGGCTTGCACAAAGGAAAAAAAAAAAGAGTCCCAAAGTAAATATTAATTTGATTTCTCCATTGGCATTGGGCTTTGAGCCTCCCTATCTTGTGAGTAAAGTAGGTTGTCCTTGTTTGAACTAAGAACTAAGGTGGCAAATGATGGCTTCTAGTTTTGAGGTGTTTATTTATTATATGATAAGTGTTTGTGACAAATGCATGAAGGAATTTTGTTCCATTTTGGAGGAGATTTATGGATCGATGAAGTGAATTGGAGGTAAGAAAATCTACATGCATCTCAAGTAAAGTAATTCACATGCATCTTTGGCATGATTGATTCATAGTGTTGGGGGTGGGGTGGAAAAGGATCGAAATAGTGATTGATTGAGTTGAGTCCGAACCTATCTGACCCCAATTGGCTTTGTTTGGACTCGAATCCCTTTTGAGGGATCAGATTGGACTTGATTTGATCTGACCTAATTTTTCAGCAGGTAATACATCACATCAACATAATTCACAACCCAACATGCATGATATGATCGATATATCATATCAAGTCTCCTGCCCTCTGACTCCATGGATTGGCACAACTCAATTCGGATGTCATCCACTTGTCGAATACATACAGTATTATTCTTTTTCCTTTTCTATTTGATGATTGTCAAGATTATGATATTTACCATAATTCATGAAGAAGATAATAGAAGAGATATTGAAACTCTCAATTTTTATCTATCATTATTTTTTTCTCATTTTTCAGTCACTTATCTCTCTTGATAAAGCCTTAAATCTCTCTCTCTCTCTCTCTCTCTCTCTTTCTCTCTCTCGTTACAAAGTTATAGGTCGTATTTATGTATGTATAGAGAGAGAAAGAGAGTCATATGTTATTTACGAGTCTTGCAATTTCTTATAGTTTTCTATGTGAAAGCCCATTCGACATTACATTTTTTATGATGACAAAGTGGAATATGAGCCAACTTTGGCCCAAACTCCTCATAAATGATCCAAAAGGATTGTTAGAACAAAGTACAACAACTTCTTCCTCCACTAAAATTAATCTGTTAATTATATTTGACAAATAGGCTACTATTTGACATCAACAAAATGAGAAATGGCAAAAAAATACCGTAATTATACATATTTAATCCCAAATTATGCACCCCATGTTTCCATCATTCACAACTCAAAATCATGTCTAACGCATTGAATCAATTTTCATTTGGATAGTGAAATTTCATCTTTTTGAATGAAGAATAAACATAAAAAAATTGATTAGATCAAGTGAGATGGATAGTTTTGGAGGGAGAAGGATGAGCTATAGAGTTTTCTTCTAGTCAACCAATTTTCATGGTCAAATATAATATTTTCCTCGGAAATCATCATAATGGGCATTACATTAATAGTTAAAAAAAAACTCGAATCGAGCTAAAAAAAAAATTAAGAATTGAATCCCTTATCGGTTCATTTCGCTGATAAAATCATTTGAATATTAAGAATATCAATATTCAATCAACTATTTATTCCATATCAAATATGTTTAAATTTTTTAAGAATATCCAAATTTATTCTTTTTGGTATATACATATATACATATATATATAATACAAGTACACACATGCACACACATATATCAGGAATAGTTACTAATGATATGAATCCTTAGATCACATTTGGTTTCAATCAAACTAACAATGACAATAATAATAGTAATAATAGTTATCCATGGTTCAGATTTATTTCCATCAAAGGAAGAAATATTTTCTTGACTTGTTGCGTTGTCCTGATCATGACATGATCGACATCCATCATGTGTGGCCCAGGGTTGACATGCACATGATCAGTAGCATTCCTGGGTCGAACGATAGTAATAATGCTGAGACTACCAAGTCGGGCATGGTCTAATCCACAACCGGCACTTGGTTGCTATCAGCCACTGTGCATCGTCCTTCCCTAACCCTAAACCACTAACGATGAATTGGGACCTCCAAACGAGTTGACCCATCACTGCCATTACCTTTCAGCAGCTGAGACATGGCGTTGTCAAAGTTAGTACAACTTCTCAAGCATGTAGGAAACTTGGGCCATCAATAATGTACGTTTTCTCCTACACAACTAAGCAATCATCTTTACTCCTAGTCGTCCTAAACACCTTTTACTATTCTAGAGTATTGGAATTAGATTTTGTTTATCCACATGAAATATCTTCTTTTTGGTACTCATCACAAGTAGAGATGTTAGGACGATTTGAAATATCCACATGAAATTTGGTAGATGATCCTACTTAACTTCGGTATACCCGATAAAAAATATTTTGAAGCTTAAGTTAAAAATAGATTTAATTTTTTTAAAAAATAGTAAAAACTGAATAATCTTTCTTTCACAAAAAGGGTTTTT